GGCGGGGAGGCACGCTGAGTAATAATTCTTCTCAAAAAGGGGCAGGTTGTAGTAGGGCCAAGTAAGTTTGGAAACCTGGATCTGAGCTAGCTCACTGCCACGTGGGACCTTCGGATGTGAACCATCAGCAAACAAGCCCCCCTGGGGAGCACAGGCACCAGACACGGGCCACAGTCTCTGGCTCTGTGGGCTTTGAAGGCGTCCTCTCAAGGAGAGGCATAACCGGGTGCTGGCAGCATTCATGGGACCAGGCTGGAGGAAGGGATTCGGGGAGGATGGCTAGGGCCAGGCAGAGCCCTGGCATTCCTGGCTGGAAGGCCGTGTTGGCCAAGGGGAGGGTCGCCCAATAGGAATGACAGAGGAACCTCTTCTCCTCGAGGTCACTTTGCCCTTGCCTTGGACTTGGACCACAAAGCTGAAGTCACAGGTCTTCCACTGGACCCCTGTCACGGTCAGGCCTCGTTCCGAGAAGGAAGCTCTCTTCCCACCCACCCTGGGGCCTTCTTCAGTATGGGCCTCCTCCCAGGATTTAGCCACTCCCAGCCTACAGCACCCCCACCCCGCAGGCAGCCTGGCTTACTGGCAGGAGACTTTTTGTGGGGGCTGTGCCTGGTGGGCGGTTTTCCCAGAGCAAGGAGTGGAGCAGGGCTGAGTTGGCGCCAGCTGCCTCCCATATAGACATAGCTGGCTGGGTGACCAGTCTGCCCCAGCTAACTTGAGCTGGAGGGCTCCCGCAGACACAGGGCTCCTGTCCCGGGTCCCGGGGTGGTGGCAGCACCACACTCCAGGAGGGTGGCATGTCACGGAGGGATGCTGGAAGACCACCAGCCATGCCAGGAGTGGGACACAGAAAGGCCAAGGCCCGGGTGCTCCCTGGCATTGGCAGGAGGAGGAACTGCCTGAGCAGAACAAGGCAGGATCCGTGGGAAGAGGCGAGCTGGAGCAAACAGAAGTGGAGCCGAGCTGGCCCCGGCCCTCAAGGGCCCGGGCGGAGGAACCTGGCCAGTGGCAGGGTGAGGACATCCTGGGCTCGGAGGGGGCGTTGGGGAAGGAGGGGCTCAATGTCACCACCGATGGCACAGCCTCATGTGGTGTCCCTGTGCTTACCTGAGAGGAGAGAGTCAGTCCTTGGGCTACAGGCTTGGGGGGCCAGGGGTGGGGTGGCCTAAAGCAGGTCTGCTTTTGCCCAGAGCAAAGCTTTGTTCTCTTGACCAGGAGGAGCACAGGGGCCCAGAGAGGCCGTGCGCATTCCCCAAGCTCCCACAGCGGGCAGTGAGCAGCAGAGCCAGGCCCGGACCCTTAGCTCCATCGCAGGAACCTCATTGGGCCAAGGGTCAACCTGGCAGCCTAGGGCGTGGCTCCGTGCTCCACCAGGGCACACCTGGATGAGCAGGACTCAGATTGGGGCTGAGTTGAAGACTGTGGGGGTGGCCTCGTGGAAGACTGGACTCCGGGGTTCTGGCCAAACTGCCACCTGACCACAGGCAAGGCCTCTCCTGACCTGTCAAAGGGACAAGAGCTGATAGGGGACAGAGTGGGGCTGAGGGCCTCTGGTCTCTGCTGTTGGGCGTTACTGCTCTGGCAAGCATAACGCTCTTTAGAGATGAGGGGCTGGGGGTTCCTCCCCGTCAGACACACTCACATGGGGGATGCTCTGTGCAGAGCGAGGCCAGTCCTGAGAACGCAGCGCGGGAGCGCAGCCGGGTGAAGACCCTGCGCCAGGCCTTCCTGGCCCTGCAGGCCACTCTGCCTGCAGTGCCACCGGACACCAAGCTCTCCAAGCTGGACGTGCTGGTGCTGGCCACCAGCTACATCGCCCACCTCACCTGCACGCTCGGCCACGAGTTGCCTGGCCCGGCCTGGCCACCCTTCCTGCGTGGACTACGCTACTTGCACCCCCTCAAGGTAGGTTACCAGGGCCAGGCGACTGGGATGGAGTGGGCAGATCTTAACACCTTGGGGCAGGGGTTTAGGGTGGAATGATCCCCCACTGGGCTGAGCTGGCTTTGGGGTCAGCTGCTGCCTGCTCTCTCACAGGCGAGAAGCTAGGTGGGGGTGGGGGGTTGCTGGGCCGAGCCGGCCTCTGCTTCTCATGACGTGAGGGTAGGGTGGCAGGAAATAGCTTCCTGGGATGTGACCCTTCTAAGGGGGAATTCAGAGAGGCCCCAGGACTCCCAGGCTCTTCCTGGAGGTGGACAAAAGGACCACACACCCGGCCTGGGGCCTAGGAAGGAGAAGGGGACTGGTGACACCCATTGTCCAGCACAGGGCTGTGGTCTGGACGGGCTTCTGTCCCAGGAGGATTCTGGCCCTGGGAGAAGCATCATTCCCGAAACATCCAAGCTGAAGGGGCAGTATTGCGGTGGTTAGGGGGGTGGGGGGAGAAATGGGCGTGGTAGTAAGGGACACACACCCATACCTTAATTCTTTCTAGTCCCACGCGTGCCCAACATGCAGACTGTGTTCATCCCACAGGCTGTGGCCTAACACTCGTAGGCCTTAGTTTTATTACATGGAACTCGAGCCCCACTTCCCTTCCAGAGCGTGGAAGGAGCTCCTGGAGGGAAGATATAATCAAGAATAAGCACCTTCGGGGTAACAACTGACATGACGTGGGGCTAGGAGATCAGGGGGTCCAGGGAGAGAAAGACAAGGCCTTCTCCCATCCTGAGTGACTGTTGGGGAAACCCGAAGGGGGCAGTTCCACTCTGCTCTATAGGGACACTGTGGTTGTCATCGACCCGGTGGCAGTGAGCTGGGCTGGGCTGGGTTTGGTTTGGTTTAGTTTAGGTCGAGGAGTCCTGGTGGTATAGTGGGTTACTAGTTGACCTGCTAACCACAAGGCCAGCAGTTCAAATGCATCAGTGGGCCCTCAGGGAAAAGATGAGGCTGTCTACTCCTGCGAAGATTTATTCCCAGACTTGGAAACCCAGAGGGACAGTTCTACTCTGTCCTAGGGGCTAACTACGAGTCAGAATGGACCCAGGGGCAGCGGATCTGTCCTTGTTTGAGCAAAGACAGGCCAGAAGCTGTGACAAGTGTGTTTGTTCTTCTCTTTGAATCCTCGGAGCAGCAAACGGAGGCCCGCTTTGCAGATAAAGACACAGGAGCACAGGGCGAGGGACCAGATGCGATCTGACCCCAGTGGTGCCTGTAGTTAAATCCTGCAACCACAGCCCCTCGGCAGGCCTGGGAGGTGGCCCAGGAAGGGCTGAGGGGAGTAGCTGATGTTTCAAAGGGTGGGGGTGGGGAGGGCACGTTTGCCCTCTGATGATAACATGCCATGTATTTGACTTGATTTGTAGGGAGGATGCTCTCACCAGCCTCCTCCCCTGTGTATTTTAGTTCTGAAAGGTTGTGAAACTTGAGGGGTTTGTTTTTTCCCTTTCATGCAAAGATAGCTAAAACGTAAGACTTGGCACTTCAGTGGGGACAACTCTGAAATGGCAGGTGGTGGCCCTGGGCTGGACAAGCAATTTTCATAGCTAGAAACTAACAACCCAGGTGAGGGTCTTGCGGGAGGTGATCAAGATGTTGACAAGCAGACAGGTGAGGGGCCAGGCTAGGTCTAGGAGTCTGGCACTAGTGGTGGTGGTGGTGGCGGCGGCGGGAGAGTCAGCTGGGAGGCCATGTGGTGGCCTGCCAGAGGACAGTCTTCAGGGTAGAGGCAGCCTTGCATTTCCGGACTGCCCCTGTTCTGGGACTGTTCAGGATGGACAATCCCTGTTGGACCCAGCTCAGAGGGTCATGGGCACTTGGAGGTGAGTATCAGGGGGGCTCTTCTTCTTCCAATGTGCACCTGTTCTCCTCACTGCTCAGCCCAGGCTATCCCCCACTCTTCCCTGGCCGCCTGGTTTCCTCTTGGGACCCTCATCTCCTTAGATGGCTCCTCCTGGGCCTGGTAGCCAGCCGAAGGTGCCTGGAGAAAACTGGGGGTGCTGAGCCAGAGACACCATGGCACAGCTGTGTGATGGGGGGCAGGGGCGGTGACTGAGCTCCAGTGTCCAGGTCCTGCAAGCTGAGCACTTCTTGTTCCCCATCCCCCTGTCTTGCAGAAATGGCCCATGCGCTCTTCTCTCTATGCCGGAGGCCTGGCGGGTGTTGGCCTTGCCTCCGCCTCAGCCACTACCTCAGGCCTAAGGAGCAGGGATGCAGAGGCAGAGCCCCCCAGCTCTGGAGAGACAGCTGCTCTACTCCCTTCCCAGGCCTCTCACCACCCCAGCTCTTAGTGACAAATGACCATCATACTAGCCCATCTTTCCCCGGATTGTGACTCCAGCTCATCTCGGCTCCGGATCTTCCTCTCCGGCCCACCTGCCTTCTCTCGGACTCTCAGCTGTCGGATCTGACGCAGCGGCGGCGGAGGCTCTGAGTGCAGACACATTGCCCAAGGAGGCAGCAGGAGCTGGGAGCAGGCAGGCAGGGTGTCTGTCAGGGGCAGGGTTCATATACTAGGAGGAAGGGAGGGAGGCAGGACTGGAAGTTGAGTTCACTTGTCTTCGCTGAGCTTCCCATAAGCCCTCTGGGGAAATCAGGAAAGGCAGAAGCTCCCAGGTGACTGCAGAAGTGGGGCCTCGAGTGGCAGCAGCTCAGGGTGCTGACAGGAAAAGCGGGGTGGGGTGGGGTGGGGGGCAGAGTCGGGTTCTTGGCAGCTGGAAGTCTGGAGAGAGCTGGGCTGGTGCCACACCCAGAGAGGACCCAGGACAAGGGAACAGACTCTCACTGCACTAGGGCGACTTACTCAAAGCCAAAGGGGTGGCCACCACCCCACCCCCCCCCCCCCCCCGCCCCCCCGGCATCTTGTCTCTGGTTCTGAGTCTCCTCAGCTACCCCTCCTGGGCCCTGTACCCTCTCACCCTCTCCTGACATTTGTCATATTTACAGGTGTGGGCATAAAGCTTCTATGACTGACATGCCAGTTTCTAGAGATGATGGCTGGAGGGCCCAGTTGATTGAAGAACTGAGCCCAAGGGCAGCCCTGCCTTAACCACCCCGAGCAACTGAGCAAGGCCTTGCAGACATGAGCCAGGGAGAACTTTAGCTACACCCCATCAATGGACCTTAAAAGGAGAAGGAATCCTTGCCCCCCACCCCCCTTTCTCCCACAGCCTTCTCTTCCTATTGGGTTGGAGACTTAACCTTGAGGAAAAGCAAGATAGGCTTGGTTGCAGAGGGTTCCTGGTATGATTTTTTCCCCCCGCCGCCTGGGACTTCATTGGCGCTGGGCGGATTCTAGAATCTATAAATTATAACTCACAGGGCCAGCTTCTCCCCCAGGCTGCCCTCATCTCTTGTCAGCAGCCTGCCCCCCACAAAGTTATCTGGGGCCCAATCACAGAGCCCACACACCCCAAATGAAAGTCACTTCCCAGGATCCGGCCACCTGAATGCCACACTGAGGCACAACCAAAGGAGCGGTCCCCGTGGACGTCCAGTGGGTTCTGAGCCATGCGCCCTCTTCAGGGAGGAGTGGAGCACTTCACACACTGGTACCATCCAGAGACTCAGCACCTCGGAGAGGAAGGGAAGGGAGGGCCGGGGTGTTTCAGAAAGCAGACCAGCGTCCCATAGGGACAGTTTCAGACAGAAGCTGCCATCAGGCGGACTGAGCGTGGGTTGGGGTCTGGGTTCTGGCATGATGGGCAGCTGTCCCACGCCAGGCCGGCCAGGCAGGGCAGGGCAGTGGAGAAATGGTGCTGAGGGGGGCTCAGCCTGTTGGGAGTGGACATAGGAGAGGAGAAACGGAATGTCCCCGGCCTGCATGGGGTGGGCTGTGGGAAGGCAGCAGGATTGTGGCTGGTAGCCATGAAACCTCCCCCAAGGCTGAACCCATAAATCTGCCTGGGACCCGGGAGAGCTTGGCCGGAGCTGCTTTGGGCAGCAGCGGGTGGGCGGGCAGGGTGCAGAGGCCAGGTGTGGGAGGACACGAACACACTGCTTCTCACAAGACCATAAAAGTCCAGCTCAAATGTTCTCTTTTTAAAGTCCGTTTGTCTTCCTGGATGGGTCTGAGGGGAGCAGGAAGGAGGAGGAGAGGGACTTCCTGTGGAGTTGGTAGCACCCAGGCTTTTTCTGGGGACCAAGAGAAGCTGTGTACAAAGTACATACTGGGGGTGGGAGGAGCGTGCCCCAGTGAGTGGAGCTCCTCCTCCTGAGAACTGGGCAGACTTTGGAGTCTGCGTGCCCCCCCCCACCCCCCAACTCCAGCTCAGACCTAAGCCTTTGCTGACTTAGAACAGATCCCTGGGGATGACCCCATTGTCCTGGTTGAGAAGACAAGATGAGCAAAATGAAGATCAAGTTGGTGGAGGCCAGGCAGGGTAAGTCCCCATCATACATGTTTTTAAGGCAAATTCAGGCTCATTCGAGGGGGTGGGGTGCTCTGGGCAGTCCTGCAGGGTCCCAAGGCCACCATCTCCAGCCTGAAAGCAGCCAGCAGTCAAACCAAGGAACAGAGGTGCTGCGGGGAGGTGGGGGGGAGTAGGGGGGCTGCTGCCAATGTGGAGGACCAGGGAAGGGCTGGGAACAAGCAAAGGGGTGGCCGGGCCGTCTCTCCTTGACCAGCACAAGGCTGCCCCTGCAGAAGTGTCCGCACAAAGACTTGGATCCACAAGCAAACCAGAACCAGGACCCACCCCCTTTGTCTCCACGGCAGAGGAAGGAAGACCTCTCTCCCCTGGAAACCAGGGGCTTCTCATTCCAACTGGTGGGGGTGGGGGGGGACGGGGTGTGTGTGTGAGGAGGAGGGGTGAACAAGGGCAGTCAGAGTTAGTCGGCATGGGCGAGAATCGAGTCCAATGGCAACTTTAGTCCTCAGGGACCAGGGCAGGGAGGAAAGAAGCCCTCAAAGGCAACAGGCGCACAGATGACAACACGACACTCGGGAGTCCGAGGATGCTGCTCCGTGGGGGGCCCAGGTCCCCTCCCTCCCTGGGGTCTCTCGAATCCCCTGCCCCATGGCTCAGGGTGAGGAGAAAGTCTCTGGCCTCTCCCACGCAGTTGGGTGCGCATGTCCTTTCTGAAGAGCCGCAGCACTGTGGGAGAGCGCTTAGCAGGGGCTGCGGGGACCCCAGAACTTACCGAGGTGCAGATAAGAGTTAGGGTTAGGCTTAGATGCTTTCAATTCAGCCCCACCCCCCACCCCCTCCCAACTCCTAGCAAGTCAGTCCCCCTACTGGAGCACAGCATGCTGGACCACTGGGCTCCACGGAGATTCCATGGGCTGGTTTTCAAAAGTAGATAGCCAGGTCTCCCTTCCCAGCCTGTCTTGGCCCGGAAGCTCCCCTGAAGGGTGTGCAGCCTCATAGCAAAGTGGCTGGGAACCAAAGCCATGTCTTCTTCACGGAAGGAAAGAATCTACCACCGAACCATCGCTTCCCTCAAACACCACGCTGGAGGCCGGAGGTGCTGCCACGTTGGGAAGGAGAGAAATTCCTTTCCTCTTCTTCTGGGAGAGGCCTCGCTATGATCCGTCAGACAGCCTTGTTCTCTTTCTAGTGTGGCACAACCCCCAAACCCAGGGCCCCTATAAGCTTGGGGCTCTAGGTCAAGGTTGGAAAACTAGGGCTGGTGGGTCAAAGATGGCTTCCTACTTGTTTGTGTACGTACATTCTTTTGAATTGCCCCACAGCCACTCAGTCATTTCTGTATCCTTCGTGGCTACTCTCTGCTCCGGAGTAGCTGCGAGGAAGACTGTCATGATCCCCAAAACTTAGACCACTTACCGCCTGGCTGTTTACAGAAAAAGTTTGCCGACTGCTCTAGAGCACAGGAATTCAAATGGTTGTCTGGGAACCCTGGGCTCCCTCCCCCCACCTCCCGATCTATACGGGGGTTTAAGTAACCAGAATTCTTTTCATAAGACTGAGACACCATTTGCCGCTTTCACGCTTATCATCTCAAGAGTATAGTGGAATTTTCCAGAAGCCACAATGATGTATGACATCGCAACAGATGGAATGTCGAAGTAGATGGGAGAGTCCGGCCGTCTATGAAGATGTACACTCATGATCCTTGCAAAAATATAGAGCTATGTTCCTCTTCTCCCTAAAGGTTTTCCAAGGTGGAAAATAATCGTCATAATAAATAGGACCCGTTCACATATACTGGGTCAATTACTGTTATTTTTTAATAAATACGATTACATTTTCTCTGGTTTCATTTCCGTGAGGTCTCTTGGAGGATGAAGGTGGGGCTGCTGCTACCCTGGTGGGTGGCGCCTGCCTCAGGCACAGCCAGGGCCTCCTGGTCTCTGCTGCCCCACAGCATTCCATTCCCCATCTTCTCCGGAGACACAGGGCCGCCCACAGGGGAGTCCTAGGGAACACACAGCCTGAGGAGGGTGTGGGTGGGGTGAAGGGGAGGTGGAAGAACTAAGGCAGAAAAGGAACAAAGACTACTGGGGTCCCCCCTCAAAGACAAGTTTGCTGCCATAGAGTCAATACTGACTCACGGGGATCCCATAGGACGGTGTAGAAATGGGCCTGCAGGTTTTTGATACTGTATCTCTTTATGGAAGTAGAAAATCCCTCCCAACCTCCGCCCTCTGCCACCCTGGCCTTGCACGCACAGCTCGGCCGCTGTCCGTGCGGGAGCTGAGGTGTTAGTGCACCTGGGGCTGGTTCACCCCATACAAGGAGAGCATCATAAACACGCCCCTGAAGGCCAGCGTCCAGAAGGTGTGCCGCATGAAAGGGTCTGGGTCCGGCCTGCAAGATGCCACTGACATCTATGCCATGCTCCCAGCAACGGGGCAGAGTGGAGAAGAGGCATGGGGCTAGGGATAATGGAGCTCCACAAGGGCTCCAGAGCTGGGGGACCCTAGGGCAAGGCAGTGAGCTGGGGCAGTGGTCCCACATCTCCAATTCCCCACCCTACCTTGGGCCACCAGAACCTCTTGGCCCTCCCTAAGCATCAGGCTGGTCCCTGGGATCCCACGCCCCACCCCGAGGGCCAGTTTCTCCGGTGCTTTCTGAAGCCCTGAGATCAGGCACAGGGGGCTTGATTCCCAGGCACTGCAGAGCCTAACAGGGAAGGAGGGCACTTAATCGCGATGCCAGAGATGCGGCCATGCTGGGCAGCCACCTCCCACACATGCCCCAGGCCGCCCACCTTAGTCGGCCGAGCCCACGATGATAACTGCCAGCTGCCCTAGGAACATGACCAGTGTCTGGAACATATCTCCGGAGAAGATGGGGAATGTAATGCTGTGGGGCAGCAGAGACCAGGAGGCCCTGGCTGTGCTTCAGCCTACCCTGCAGGGAGAAGACAGCCCTGCTGCTCAGGTGTCTCCTAAACTGTCCCCTAGTGAGGACACCAACTCACCTTCTGGGACATAATTTGCTGAGACTGTGTTGACATTATTTGTGAATGACATGACATCTCATTCCCTATCCTATAATTATTCCTGATCCCACATTCTACCTTACATGCTATTCCATATCCTCTTACGTACCATATTTCCCTGTCCTATCTCCTACATTGGATCTTGCCCCATCTCCAGCATTTCATCCCATCTCTTGACCTACTGACTCATCTCATCCCATTCCTATATTGTAAAACTGCAGAAGGACGGACTCATTTGAATCAGGGTGTTGGAGAAGAACC